AGTAGTAGTAGTGGTAGTATTAGTAGTATTAGTAGTAGTAGTAGTAGTAGTAGTAGTAGTAGTAGTCAGGCGCGGATCCAGGATTTCTTAGGGGAGGGGGCCCAACTTTTTTCTTTTTTTGCTCCCGAAAATTTGAAATCGCGCCGGCCGAAAAGTCGCTGAGCGGGGGGGGGGGGGGGGGGGGGGGGGGGGGGGGGGGGGGGGGGGTAGTGAGCAATTTTTTTTTTTATTTGATCCTCAAAAATAAAATTAATTTGCACCCCCCCCCCCCTTGAGCGCCAGGGGGGCCCAACCCCCCAAAAAGGTAAAAATCACGTGATTTTACATGATTTTTTTCTCAAGGGGGGGCGGGGGCGGGCCCCCCCTGGATCCGCCACTGGTAGTAGTAGTAGTAGTAGTAGTAGTAGTAGTAGTAGTATGAGTGGTAGTAGCAATAGTAGTAGTAGTATAAATTATTGGTAGTGGTAGTAATGAATAGTAGTAGACTTTATTTTATAATTATCTACCGCAATACTAATCTGCCACAAGAGCCAAAAATTAACTTGTATGACTCCGCATGTAGATTGATAATTATTTTCAAAATTTGTACTGACAAAGTTACACAATCGTGTGTGCTGGGATGTACAAGAAGTTTGTAATAAAAAAGAGCATGTGTGTGTTTAAGAACCTTTATTGAATGAATACAAAAATAATCGCTTCGGTTTCCAAGTACACTAAGCAACTAATTCATGCAAAAAAGAACAAATTTCACCTTCCTCGAAACCTTCATCAAAGGTATCTATTTCTATAACACTCAACCCATGCAAATGCAAGTTCACAAGGAACTACACAATGCAACGACCAGTCTATGTAGTATGGCTAGACCCGTTGCAAGCAGTAGCAAGTGTATCTTGACATGTCACCTATGGCCTACTCTATTATTCATAAGTGGCAAAAATATTGTAATTGATATAGTAGACAGTGGGATAGTCACGTGTGCACTTTATTGTTTATAGTAAGGAGGTCAACATTTTTTAGGCGACGAATTTTAATGAGGTTTTTTTCTCGATCTGTAGTCGGTCTGGCAAGTCTGAAATCTGTATAGTTAATGTGTCTAGGTTTCGGTCACCTCACCAAACCGATTACAAAGCGACATGTTTAGGATCATTCGTAGACTGTGGTAGAATACCCCTCTGACACCAACCAGACTAACACCAGACCGAGCATTTATCTTTACCATGAATATAGACACGTCTATTTGTGTCATTGATGAGTCGGTTGGTGGTGTTAAACCTCAGTCATACTGACTCCACATCGACTTTAAGACGAACAACAATTTGTCCATTCAGGGTAATGTAATGGTTTTTTTCGGTCGAGTGTCGGTCATCATAAAGCCCAGTCACACCGATAGGGACTTTTAGATTTGCACGTCGACAAAGTGGACTGCTACGTGGGACGTCCTTTTAAGGCAATGTGACGTCCTTTTAAGGCACTGCCAGTATTTAAAAGGACATCACATGTAGCAGTCCACCATGTCGACGTGCAAATCTAAAAGTCCCTAATGAATGCAAATCGCACCGACGACAGACCGAGCAATTTTTACCCCCAAATGCCTTAAATCGGTATAGGTTTTGGATTCATTGTGGTTGAGGTATGAGGTAGGCCTACAGTATGAGGTATATCACATTTGCCATATTTATGAGAACGCTCGGCATGTTCAAGGGCGATCATGTTTAATTATGCAATGTTATAATTATTGTTTGGGTACAATTTCATGTTGGGTACTCTTAACCTTCCAAAAGTGTAGTTTTCTACGACACCATAGCTCATGCTAACGGTTCTATATGCATGGATGGATCACGAGTTATATCACATTTGGCGTGTGATTTATGAGAATGCTTGACATGTTCAAGGACGATGATGTTTCATTATTCAATGTTATAATTATTGTTTGGATACAATTTCATGTTGGGTACTCTTAACCTTTCTAAAGTGTACTTTTCCACGATACCATAGCTTATGTAAACGGTTCTATATGCATGGATGAATCATGAGTTATATCACATTTGGCGTGTGATTTATGAGAATGCTTGACATATTCAAGGGCGATGATGTTTAAATATTCAATGTTATAATTAATATTTGGGTACAATTTCATGTTGGGTACTCTTAACCTTCCAAAAGTGTAGTTTTCTACGACACCATAGCTCATGCTAGCGGTTCTATATGCATGGATGAATCATGAGTTATATCACATTTGGCGTGTGATTTATGAGAATGCTTGACATGTTCAAGGGCGATGATGTTTAAATATTCAATGTTATAATTATTATTTGGATACAAGATCATGTTGGGTACACTCTTGACCTTTCTAAAGTGTACTTTTCCACGACACCATAGCTCATGTTAACGGTTCTATATGCATGGATGGAAATTATAAAGGTAATAAGCGTAGGATATAATTATGATGAATACAGCCAGTATGGGCGTTATAACTAAAATAAACACTACAGCAAGCATCATTGACTGGCTTAAGTAGAGCAACAGAATTGGACGACCAAGGTCATTTAACGTCGTTGTAATCATTAAAAATGGAATCGAATCGAATGTGATTAAAACCAAATATAATTACAGTAGTTAGTCGGCCAGAAAATGTAATGCAAGCTGGAGCATTATGGAATGCAAATTGCATCGCTTGACTATGCTTTCTTTACAAAAAAAAACATGCTTCTTTAATACTGCCTCGTTCATTATACGGCTGCCTAGACACCCCCTCTCCCTCTCTTTCTTTGTGGTCATGTTTATCCCTCTCTCCCTCTCTCCCTTTTAATCTGTCTCCCACCGTGCCCTTTTATCACAACCTAATTCAATATGTGAAATTTAAAACTAACATTAAATAGTTCAAAATTCATTTTATAATTAGCCTACACGTCTCAAATCAGCATTTTGCTTTTTTCCGAACATTTAATTTAATCCAATTACGTTCGAGTCATAAAAGGATATGAATAAAGCTGAACTCAACTTCATAGGGCCAAGGACTATGAATATCAAGGACTATCAAATCAAGGTATATCATAAGTTTCACCATACCTCATTGCGTTTGAACGTACCATATATTGTTTATATTCATATATCAATATTGCGTTCGCATGCCTGGTACAAGCATATAGCTTCGTTGAACTGTCACTTCGAGTTACGTACAGTATTTATTTAATTGAGAATACGAGGACACCGAATTGGATATAGTATGCGTAATGATAGGTGGTTACGAGTATGACTTTCATTAATTGTTTTAATCAGTGAAAGCATTGATAACTAAATGTGGAAAAGTCGTGTTGTAAGGAAAACATCATTTCAGTGAGCGAAAACGAAAACAGGATAGCATCCGATGGATAAATCACTGATTTACATAGAGTAAAAACTTGTCGATATCAATTATGTTGCATATCTGTGGGGTTGTCTGATTAAATAGGAACATGTTTCTGACAAAAGATGTCCACACAATTATTGTCCGGGGGAAAGGTTATCATTCAATGCAACTTATACTCTATAGCAATTGTCGACATTACAGATGAATCCTGGAAAGGTTGTAGCTCTTAATCCATTCATCCATCAATAAATTGAAAACATAATGAAACCAATGTATTCCAATGTATGCTAGGGATTTACATTAAATGACCTTTTGTGTAATATCACAAATTCATGTTCAAGGTTTGTTTAAACTATAAATATTACATGAGCTTATAAGGTCGTGAATTTAGCTTATACCGGGGGGGGGGGGGGGGATGCGCAACGGATGTACGTTAACCATGTTCACTTTGCTATTCGTCTTAAGACACAATCATGATACAACATTCAGATAGCCTTTACTAAAATATGATATAGATCCTAATCAAACTATTAGCTGAGTGCGGTCATCTGACCAGTCATATTATTTAACTCACGTCTTACAGGTCATTTGAAAGTACTATTGACCGGTCATTAGCATTCAAACGACTGTTCGGTTAGACGCCTAGATCTAAGTAGGGTCAATCGACTCTAGAATATGGATTTTGGATGATTTATCAATTGACAAGGACCCTCGTCTCCATAGGGTCTATGGAACAAAAAATACTCATCATACATGTGGGTATTCGTTTTATTATCTGCCATCAGAATCTTTGAAAAATGCTTTGGCCCCGGGCGTCTGACTCCAAGGAAGGTATCCTGTGCGGAGATATATTTTGTTTTACTAATGCCCTCAGTGATGTGTAATTGCTAATATTTGGCTATCTTTGTCTATAGGGAGACCAGGCTTGTTTTAATCAAATATTGCACAATGATATTTACACGATATAAAATACATTTCATCGATTGAAAGTGTAATCAATAATACCGAGGTATAGTTGTAGCGCTAAAAGTGTTTAATTATCACGATTATGTGCAAAAGATACCACGCGAAATGTCGAAGACTCTCAAACATTCGAACAATACGTTATTTGGTTCTATGAAGATACAACATTTCAAATAGCCTTTACTAGTGTTTGTTTTTGTTCACAGAGATCATGTCGTATTGTTCTCAGACAAATATACACAGTGGTAACTTTGACCTAAATAAAATTTGCTTTATCTGTCATGTCTATACTGGAAGTGTAATTACAAAAAAAATTAGGTTGTTTGTGACGCTAAAATAATGTCAAAATGCAGCAATGTCAAATGATTTGCAAAGGATACTGCATGAAACTGCCATTCGACAAAGCATTAGAAGTAGTAACATGGAGTTGTTTTTTGGATGATACTAAAGGGTCAGGTAGTCTTTATCAGTCTTTACTTTGTAATAATAATGTTTGTTACAAAGATCATGTCAGATAGTTATCAGTCAAATGAAATATACATTGGAAAAGTGACATAAAACAATAGTTCATCATAATACTGCAATATAATTATGAACAATGAGGTAGAGTGACACCATTAAAACATGTCAAAGTATCTCAATGTTCAGAAGATTTGCGAAGGACACCGCGCGAAGCTGCCCTAGACCAGTGAGTTGTGAGTTTTCATAACTTCCTGCCTAGACTGAGCGTTTTAAAAAGAAGTGGATAACTTTTGAAGATAGGAAACAGATTCGGTCTTACCTTCTCATGAAGTGCGGAAACCAGCAGATACCAAAGATAAAGACCAATACAAGAACAGCCTTGGCGAGACGTCTCCTAGCCCTTGCCTGCTTGCTCTCCTGGTGACCTTCACCGGGCATGTCCCTGGAACTTTGAAAGAGCTGGATTGCGATGAGGCAGTAATAACAAGTGATGATGGTGAGTGGGATAACGTACATGAGAAGGCATCGGGTGACCTCGTGGATGCGTGCTTGGAGGGTGAAGTGGGGTAGAATGAAGCAGAGCACATAGGGTTTCATCTCGTAGCTGAGGAAGGCAAGAAACATGGAGGGTATCCCAAGGCATACGGCTACGACCCAGATACAGACAGCCACCACGCAGGTGCGACGGACAACGGGGCTTCGTCGCCGCTGTATGGGGCGGACGATGGCGTTGTAACGGTCGAAGCTGAGCGCCGTAAACGTGAACACAGAGACACCTTCAGAAACAATCGGGATGAACGCTTGGACCTTGCACATGGTCGCTCCCAGAGGGAAATCGTCCTGGATGTAGGATAAGACGGTCAACGGCACCGAGAACGACAGCACAAGGAGGTCACCGACGGCCACATTGGCTATGAGGACGTTGGGGACACTCCTCATGTCTTTGTTCATTAGTACACTGTATATCAATGTTCCGTTGCCGACCACACCGCAGATACCTATCACCACCAACACGAACATCTCGAAGTAGTCCCGGAACATCAGTGGTGGGATATCATGATCGGTATAATTACCGTCGCTATAGTTCCCAAGGGCCACATTGAATTGGTTTCCAGGAGACATCGGGAAGGCCGTACTCCCTACCCGAGAATAGCTCACTGCATCCATCTTAGAGCGAGACTTACAACTTCCTTGATCAATCAATTTATATTTTCTGATAAAGATTCGTTCTCAACAAAGAAGCGAAATACAGTTAAAACATTCCAAGGCCTTGTGCAAAGCGATATTTCGAGACAAGGCTTGAAGAAATCGCCTTCTTCCGTGGGCCGGGGAAAAACACGCATATACAATCAAACACCAACTCCATGAAATTTCGGAGTCTTTTCTTAAAATACCAAGCAAGACGCGATTTTATATCTGTCAGTTGAATGGATCAATCTGACCAGCTTTCTTTTATAGATAACTGCTAGTAACATCCGATATTTCAATATAATTCCTTGTGACACCGATGCTCATCAAACTAAACTGTTAGATGAAAAACACGAATCCGAGTCTTTCCATGTTTCCATCCCGAAAGTTTTGCGATAGGTTCTACCTTGGCGGAATCAGGACAGCGTATGAAGCATCACCGCTTCTTCTCCACGTTGCAAAAGCGCCACCGTCAGGTCACTAACCTCTACTACCGAGTAGACGAAGTTGATACTATTTTTAAAAGCATGTAATTTATGATCTGTTTTTCTAAGTCTCGGGTCGTGGTATATCTACTTCAGAGCCAGAAATTCATCGTTTGTTTCATGCTGGCAAAAGAGAAATCTTCCTCTATTCGTGTGCCCTATGATGGCATTTACAGAGTGTTGGTGATACGAATGAATAAATGAACAAAGACGGATATCGGGATCTCTACCCAATGGTGGACTGCATCGCTGATTCGATTGTTACTTCCTCCGTATTTTGATCACGTACTCTACTTATTAAAGAGCACTTGTTTCTTCGAAATTGAGAGTTCGTGCAATTAGCGGATTATAATAGTAAGGACATGAGATGCATGAATCAACTGGTTGCTGTGTCCTCTTCTTGTTGAGCGCTCTTAGAAAGGGAACTCCGTGAAACTATGGACGCTCCGAGGTTTATTAATTTATACCCGGTTTCGAAGGAAAAGGGGGGTACAACACCTTCTTAAACTTAGTCACAGCACGATGGAATCCAAGGTAACCTTCAATAAGTCAATTTAAGCCCGGTTATCAAGTCCTACAAAGTTGATGCCATGGTGTATCGAGCAGCTGTCAGTCGAAATCAAACCTTTTGTTTAATAGGAAGTCAACTTCACGTTCACAAGGCAGAATCCATGCATGTAGTTATTATCTATATCATGAACTGTTGCACAATACAACTGGTTGTTCCCATAAATTGAATAATCTTTGGACCCTTTAAATTACGTTTATGCCTGTTGAATACAAATAAAGAAAACACAGTCGCGTGGTTGACTTTCAATGAATAGATTCTAGGCTCAGAAGTTGTGCAAATACTGATTTAAAAAGATCCTCAAATATTGACTTTAATTACTCTTGAAATTTCCAGTATCCTTCATAAGGATGTGAAGATGAGCCGGAAAAATTACAATTCCAAACACACCTTGCGATCGCGAAGATGGTGATATTCGAGACGTACGTCCTTCAAGTACAAACTTTGGTAAAAATTTTCGCCGGTGATAATTCCTCCTGTTTCAAAATACTACCGTTGAATATTTTATCCTGTTATTCCTGTTCTAAGCACCACTCACCCACCACGTGTGTGTGACTTCGAAAGATCGAAAATGGTGAATGAACAATGCCCCTTGTGGTAGATGATAATAAACGATGATAACTTCCAAAGCTGAGCTGGTACGATCTTAGCCAGACGGAAGGTTCCGACAACTCTGCGAATCGTCGTTTATAGAAGCGACGGTCACGGCTGTGAAATTATTGGCAGCCGTCCGAAAACTCTGTCCACGTGTAAAATTAACGATTTGATGTAACACAAAGGGCACTGCATACACATGATAGTGACAAGGTAGATTCGTGTATTTATTCCTACTCGCGTTCGTACCGCCGTTCGTTTACCTCCTCCGTGCGTAACGCCCCTACCATGTGTAAGCCGCACCTCCTCCATATCTTTGACCAATCATGATCGAGCACTAATCGTGAGCGCGGGATAGACGATGTGAAGTGCAATCAGGGAATTTCCTGCTTGGAGCAACGACTTGTGATAATTCCTTGCTTAGCGTCGACTTGTGGTATGAGCGCATTTTGGGGCGATCGATGTTAGGGTATGATTATCATGTGTTGTTCTAACATTTCAAATTCGTCTACTTTGTATAATTTCATTACTTTCGAGAAAAACATTTTATTTTTCTTCTCTTCCAACTTCATTTAATCTTATTCTTTCCTCTACCATCTCATTTTCCAAAGGTTAAGAATTATTGGCATTTTCTGGTGTACGTATAATAGTTTCCTATTTTCACTGCGACTGGAGGCGCGATAGCTCAGTCGGTAGAGCAGTGGTCTCGTAATCCGGTGACCCGGATTCGAAACCAAGTCGATGCGCTAGTGCCCTATGGTAAGGCATTAATCCTCATTACCAGGTCCCTCGAAGAGGACCTAAAGCCGTTGGCCGGCTAATTGCTTACTAACGAGCATATTTATGCTTTCTTAGCAGTCAGGTAAAATAACCACCACCACCACTAAATTTATCATAATTTTGTACAATTTTGTTCTCTGAGCCAATTTTCAGTTTTTGAATTTATATCCCAAACCACTTTCACTTACTGCATTATCTTCCCATTTTTATATCCAGGCATACTGTCCTCTCCTTAGTACCCAGTCCCCCTTCTCACCCTCTCTCTCTCTTTCTCACTCCGTCCCTCCCTCTCCCTATCTTTCATCTGAAGCTACCTTCTTTTAAAATTGTACTCCACATATTGGCTTTTAATACGAATGTTTGTTCCCTCCTCATAATAAACCATTCTGCTAATTAGCATATTATACGGTATAAAGAATTATGCTCAATGCAATCATGGATATTCCTTATGGTTTAAAAGCAGTTACAGGGGAAGTCCACCCTGATATTAAGTTGGTTTTAATAGAAGCAGGAAAATAGAAGAAACGGGTCAACATTGATTACAAATTGAAAAAGTTAAGGCTTTGTTTAAGGAGCTATCCATCAAACACAAATCGCAACTCTGTAACGTGTCTTGTGTGCTCGGCTCCCATTTGCCCTGTACCAAAAACTTGTAACAATTAATTATTTATAGTTGCCCTTTTCCAATTTCCGATCATGCATTCACCCTAAATAAAATTGTTGCAAATAATTATGTTTATCTACAATCCCTGTCATAAAGAAAAATCTATTCCGTCATCAATAAATTAGAAAATGAAAGTTTCTAGAATTTTCTGTACAGAATAAATGCGAGAGGAGCTCGCAAAATACATCACAGTGTTGGCACTTTTTGTTTCTCTCATTTTTCTGCGTTTATTAAAACCAAATTAATATCATGGTGGACTTCCCCGTTAATGTACACTCCGCACTAGCCTTCGTTACAATCATTTTTTTTTCTTCTCCACTCCCTAATTCTATTCCTAATTAGCATCCATAGAACTAAAAATCATGTTATTCAGTCATTATAATTAAGGAAGCATTGTTAAATGCAGTTTTGAAACATTCAAATATATTTTAGTGTAAAAAAGGTAAATTGACTCCTATGTATAATGTCCCTCAATTAATCAGGAATACAAGCAGACGAAAAACATCCAACGGACGATGGAAAACGCTATAAAAACCACCACCAACAACAAGCAACAAGAGGAGGGGCAAATGGGGGTGGGGGCATGTCCCTCTTTACCCTAAGTTAAAACATTGAAGGTCTGATTTCAGCTTCCGTCATGATAAGATACTATTCCCACTCATAAAAATAGCAACAACACCAAAAGTGTACAAATATAAGCCATAAATAAAATAATATAATACATACGTTTACGTGAATGTAAAATAAAGAAAAATAGTAATAAAATTAAGATGAACGAGGTCGGCAATGGCAAAAGATCCAGCGTAGTTCCTTTATTCAACTTTAAAATATTATTAAAACACTTAGGATTAAAAAAAAAAAATACCCTCTTCCGACTGCTACCCTCTTTATCTCTTTATATCACTATCTCTCTCTCTCTCTCTCTCTCTCCTCTCTATCTTTCTTTTTTACTCCCCTTCCCTCTCTCTCTCTCTCTCTCTCTTCCCCCCTCTCTCTCTCTCTCTCTCTCCCCCTCTCTCTCTCTCTCTCCCCCTCTCTATCTTTCTTTTTTACTCCCCTTCCCTCTCTCTCTCTCTCCCCTCTCTCTCTCATTATCTTTCTCTCCCCCTCTCTCTCTCTCTTTTTCCCTCTTCCCCTCTCCCCCCACTCTCTCTCTCTCTCTCTCTCTCCCTTCATTTTGTACAAGCTATCAACTAGGGACTTTTAGATTTGCACAACGACAACGTGGATTGCTACGATCGACGTCCTTTTAATGCACTACCTTGAATGGACGTCACACGTATCAGCCCACGCAAATCTAAAAGTCCCTATTGATTTCGATATGAAACACACAGCATAGACAGAATATAACGTATATCCCAAAGCATTATGGTGAGACAAATATTCGTTGAAAGGCATAGTGTGTAAATGATTCTACTATTCATAATACTAATATTTAATACATACATATTGTTTTATACTTCTACTTTTATTGAATAATATACTCCTTTAATTATTTTCTTCTGTCTTATAAATTGAACAAGAATTAATCTGAAGTCTTGCGAGAATATCGAGTGTGAATGGTGAAGTCTGGAAGCACGATGGCGCAAGTCAATCAAATCCAATGTTGGGCGAGTTCTGGCAATAGATTGGACAAGGTTATCAAAATTCAATGCTTGGAAAAATTCGAAGTAATGAGTATTAACAATTACAAAACGCTTAAACACAGCCCCGGCATATATCACCTGAAAAGCTCTCCGATCGCTGCTGAGATGTGTGACGTCACATGTTGAACATGATGTGCACAAGCAGACGATGTCCAATGACATCTCACACATTTTTAGTGCCTGTTTTGTCGTCTTCTCTTCAGTTAAAGCTACGGTCACAAAGGTTCGTACGAACGATTATTTCGTACGAATCTCCTTGTTTTTCCATTGTCTGAAAATCGTTCGTACGGCGTTCGTATTAGTTCGTAATGACATTTATGACCGAGGCTTTAGCTACGGTCACGAAGGTTCGTACAAACGATGCGAATTTTCCTGTTTTTCCATTGTCTTCCCGAATATTCATTGTCTGAAAATCGTTCGTACGGCGTTCGTAGCAGTTCGTAATGGCATTTGTGACCGAGGCTTTATTTCTCTTACTTCACTACCCTCGGGCTGATTTTTCAATCTATTGCCTCACTCTAAACCCCGTGCTTGTTATTATTTTGATGAAACATGCAAGGATTAAAAAAAAAAGGAATCTGTCGCTTGTAAACAAAATAAGACGCCATTGTATTTCAGCTGCACGTCCATGCTATCATTCCGGAGGTTTTTTTTAATTTGAAAGCGTGGTTTCTTTAATTGTTTATTAACCCCCTATCCTGTGTATTTATAAACAAAAGAATTTAGTTATCAGTATGGGGGTCATATCCCGTTTTGAATGGTGTAAAATTCCATCACATTTATATACAATAAACTCAATGTAATTTGAGAAATAATAGCATTGCAATTATGTTCATTCTTTATGGGATGTCTTACGCTTGGGCAGGATCGGTTCATATTGGGACGGCATTAAAAACATCGTTATTTTTCCGGCGAATCTCTCGCATATCCCAAATGCTATGGAAGTTGTTTTACCTGTATTTTTATAAATCACCCGAAATGAAGTTGACCTAAAACTTGTATGATGGCCATCTGCTAGGTTACTAGTTTCTAGTGATACGTTAATTGCAATATTTGTGATTTTCTTTGATCAGACACTTTAAGTACACAGTAGTTGTAATTTGTTTATCAGGCAAAAGATTAGGTTGTTATAGAACAACGTGTATTAACTGGTTCTAGGATACCTATCCCCTGGACATCAAACCCCCGGATAACCACCCCAGTTAACTACACCCTAGGACAACTACCCCTAGGGCAACCGTCCTCTACGACGACTACCCCCGGGGCAACTACCCCGGACAACTCCCCCTTAGTAAACTACCCCCTAGGACAAATATCCCCGGACAACTACCCCAAATTAACTAACCCCTAGGAAAACCACCCCTAGGACAACTACACCCCCGGACAACTACCCCCTAGGGCACTCTCTAGGACAACTACCCCCTGGGACAACTACCCACAGTCAACTCCCCCTAGTACTGGGGGTAGTTGTCCGGGGTAGTTGTCCCGGGGGGTAGTCGCCCTGGTGGGTGGTTGTCCTAGGGGGTAGTTTTTCTAGGGGTGGTATTGTCCTAGGGGGTAGTTGCCTTGGGTGCTTATCCGGGGCGTGGGTGTCCAGGGGCCGGGTAGGTGTCCGGATACGATATTAATTAATTAATGGAAAAGTGCTAGAAAGCGATACCCAATGAAAAGCACAAGTTATGATTTTGCAGTAGAGACCGTATAAAATGCGGATGCAACAGGACAACAATTCCATGCATAAAATGTGCTCGTTATTGAGCTACATGTACATGTATCTTGCGGTTTCTACAAAATCACTAATCTTAAAATTTCAAGCTACAGCAACGTATATTTATGATGGATGGGATTACCCCCTTCCTTTAACTTTGTTGTCAATGTCGCAATTGCCCATAATTACTGTTAACAAATTTAGCAATTTGGGACCCATTCGCAAATTAACAATTTCGGGGAGATTTCGTGCAAAATTACAGCCCCCCCCCCCCCTCCCCCCCCCAAAAAAAAAACTGTTAACATCTCTATAAAAAAAAAACAGGACAAATTTCGTTTGTCTATTTGGTGCAGTGGGATGTTATGAACTGGTGCAAATACATTTGTTTTTCCGTCGTAGATGGGGTAGTGTCGTGAAGACAAACGTTTTTCTTCAACCCTCCACTGATTAATAGTGACGCTCGATCCTTATTCGACACCGATTTTCTTTTGACAATTAGTGAACTAAAGTTTGTCTTTTTTTGGAAAGAGAATGACGCGCAATGCAACCACATGTCGTGAAATTAATGTAATGATATTTACGCCACTGTTGCGATTAAACAGTGAAACTGCGTTTTTGCTTTTTTCATTTTCTTTAAAATATGTAATAAAGAACCTATAGAGGCTTGTTCATTATCATTTAAACCTCAGTCATGATTATCAGCTGAGTGCTCTTGACGGGGTATAGAAGCCTCTGCCCTTAATGTTTGATAATTATTGTCACTGGCGTACTCATGGAGAGGTGGTGGTCCCCGATATTGGGAAGAAAGAAAGGCCGGGGGAAGCATTTTTTTTAAAGGGAAAAAGAAAGAATTAGAGACTTCTTTTGTTTACCCCCATCAACTTTCTTTTGTAATAACTATATTGGTTCTATCATGTAGATTAAATGGCCTTTTATGGTCTTTTGAGGGTCTATCTTTAGTTTAAACAAAATATATCTAAACCTTTGAAATGATCGAGTATATATCAGATCCGAGGAGTTTCCCCCGTATAATAGGGGCAGAGTGTAACGCTTTCTATCCTCGTTACATAGGAGAGGAGAGAAGAGGTGAAGAGTGCCTTTAAATGCATTATTTTCTTCTTGGGGGGGGGGGGAACTTGACTGTAAAATGCAAATTTAAGTCCGTCCCCCCCCCCCCCTCCTCTTGATTCAATAGATTAACACCCTAGTCGCATGCATTGCATTCTTGGCGCATAAGAAATGCTTTAATTCTTCCTTGCTCAGCATCCTCCATTTGGGGGGGGGGGAGGGCGGGGGCTCACTAAGTTGCGCCACTGACTACTTTTTACCTCTGACAACTTTTACCACTCAGAAAAAAAAATCCAGCTGGAGGTCTTGAAATTAGACTAATCATAAGGTGTTTTGAAAATTCCGCGGTCTGTACGAAAGTCAAAACTGGTGCTAACAATTTTCTTCGTTTAATCATTAAAAAATAGTCGAAATCTTGTTTTTAAAAGTTTCCGTTGATGGAAAAAGATAATCTTAGCAACTTCCTATCATACAGTCATTAGAATGGATGGAGAAAACGTGTTTGGTCAGCTAAGACGGATCGCAAGGAACGTTCAAAATGAGAGCGCTCTCGCTCAGGAGCGAATGAGTAGGCCAATTGCACTCCGTACCAGCGGCGACTCTGCCCGCCCAGTGCTGCGACGAATGCAGGCTGATGCACACAATGTGAAGGTATGATGGGGAGCCATAGTTTTTAGAGCTGTGTCGGCGCACCTAACATTTGACTCGAAATTGACAAGGATTTTCTGTTATGTCCCTGAAATGAGTAATCTGGTGTTATTCTTTATATTCTAGAGAGTAATTGTGCAAAAGATCTCAGCTAAATTGGAGCAAGATTCAAGAATATGTCATGAACTTGATGAAGTCGAAGAACAATGTAATTTTCAATTCAGTTTCACAAGAAATAAAGTAGCAGCCGGCAGCCTTCATTCATCATGTTCATGCCTGACATGGCTGTCACTTTTCAGTCATAAATTGTAACAATATAATTCACCAGTACCGCAATTTATTAGGAGTCTCTTGATCAGTTGATGGTCTTCATTTTTATAGTTCTGTTTTATGACATTTAATCTGGTCAGCCCGGTTTTGATTGCATTGAATGCTTTGCTCGACGTGAAACGGGCTTCTCCGCTACATGGCGTGCGTGTGCAGTGATTTGACATGGCAAAAACGAAGGTTATTTATAGTTGCATTAATTCTGTTCTCTCATTCATTTTACACAGTTCAGGGTTTTTATGTGAAATAAAGCATCTTGAGGTGTGTGAAACGTAGATAGTCTATAGACCCTATGGCTTTATCAAATTTTACTTTTTTTCAATACAAGACAAAATTCTATGTTGCATATTTATGTTTTATATTGTGCATGCAGATATGTAGTCACTGTGCATTTGTGTGTGTTCTAGTCATACACACTACACAGGATGTACAATTGTACATGTACTTTAGCCCAATTCAATGAAGTAATAAAGAATTTTTAAGTTAATGAAATGTTATCTTAAATATTACAACGGGGTAACAGCACTTAATGTTTTTACACCTAACAGTCTTTAAAATGATTTTTTTTTCTTCTAAATTTCTCTCCCTCCCCAATCGTTTTCCTTGCCTATGTACATGTAGCTTGCCGCAGGAGATGCACACTCTAGTCTACCTTCATCCGTGGAGTTCAGCAAAGTTCTTGAGTCTTGCAGTCAGCTTTGTGATGCATACAGGTCAAAGGTCAACCTGCTTGAAGGGTTTCTACAGCAATATGGCTACCAACCACAGCCCGTTAAAGTCAAAGGTATTGAAACAATGGACAAGAGCTACTTAAATTTATTAGAATTTGTGCATGTTGAATGTTTGATTTAAAACATGAGGTGTGGCAATGGGTCCTAAATCTAGACTGATCATTAAACTGCACACATGCTGAATAAATATAGGTATAAGTCACAGTACTAATTTTGAATAACTAAGTCTAAGTGACAGGAATACCATTACCAGTATCATTTTCATGGGCATCACTATCAACCAAACAGTAATGTATGCATCATCCTGGATTCAAATTCTAAATCAATCAAGTTAAACAAAATATATACATTGTGTAGATATTGCCTTTTGAATACTGAAACTACTCTATCTTCATTGTTTTTGTCAGTTTTCTCAGCAATTCTACTTTAGAATATAGAACCATGGTAGCTAAATATTGTGGATTGACTATTAAACAGGAAAATTATTTCAGTTTCTAAGCATTATCCTACCTGTTTCTAATACCTAGCTAGTAGAATATTGATAATTTTTGCATATCATTGGATTCGTTGGTTTGGGATGGTACATTGTACATGTTGTAATAAAATCCATGAATATCACCCTGCATTCATGTTTATTTCCAGGGGTTCCTGTCAATAGTATCATCAAGAAAGAAGCAAGGGCAAATGAAACACAACATCCTAAAGGAGAACAGCTCCTTACCTCCACATATGATGCTGAGGAAATGAAAGAAAATGTGTAAGGCATTCATGTTTCTAAAACAGAATGCGTTAACTCTCATTACTGTTGAACAGAAATTTTCATGTGCATGAGTTTTCACAAATTTTGTGTAGAAAATTTCTTGTTTCACAGTATCTGCATTGTAAAAACAATTTGTTGTTCTCAGAAGCTCATTTGAGATGTCCTAGCACCTATAGTGAAAATTAGATGTCCTCATGAATTATTTTGATTTATTGAAGTTTTCCTGATCTGCAGTGAAATCTCTCACACCAGTTAGAACCACATCAGACCAACAATAGACCAACTAAAAAAGTGGTATTACAATCAGACTATTACTTAGGGGATTGCAATCACTTCTGGTTGTTATTTTCCCACATGGAGCCCTTTCGTTTTGAGGGAAGTTCTAAATAAGTCTTGTCTTTTAAATGCTGTTAGAATTTAACCTTTTCATTTTTTGACCTGCAAATGGGACATAGTACCTCCAAATCGAATAGCCAAGAAAAGAGAAGAGGTCTCTTTGGAGTAGGTCTATGCTTAGAGTCAGTTTGGCAGTGTGACTGAGATATCATGTTGAATCTTATTTACTCCTAGATTGTCGGTCTGTTGACCAAAAACTGATTTTGAAAGTTAATGAAATTCACATTTATTTGACTATTCTTGTACTGCACCTGCTAGACCAACAACCCCCACCAACAAGCCTGACCTGGGGTCATCATGGAAAGGAGGGACCCCCAGACTGGAAGACTTTGGATTGAGCAGGGGTTTCTTGGAACAGATGACAAGGAGCAAGCACCAGAGCCACCAACAACCTCAAGAAGCAACCGAGAAGCCTCAGCCAAAAGCTGTTGCCAAACTCAAGTAAGTTGGGACCTAATATGTATGAGGAAGGACTAATTTTATTCATCAGGGCCCCGTCTAACAAAGAGTTGAAATCAATCGCAACTCTTTTTAAGACAGGACCCAGGTGTCCATTAAATGTGAGTGGGGTAAAATCAGCACATAAGAAGTTTTTCAAGATTAAGACTTAACATGATTGCCTGAAACATGTTATTTATTATATATTTTTTATTTATATTCATGGTGATACTCCATGGTTTGTCTGCCTTTTCGTACATCTTAATCTAAGGTTAAACCAACTATTAGAATAATCCTTATTGCTAAAGTGTTGTTATTTATCGATATTGCAGCACCATATTTAATAATTCGTCAAATGTAGATTTTACAACTTAAATGTAGTTTACCAAACAACTCTTTCATGCAAATGATATCAACATTTATATCTTTAAAAGCTGTGGTTAAAATGAGATAAATAAAATGAATAAATCTGAATTACTGATTTAAGAAAAAAAAAGATTATTTTTTAATTCAGCTTTGATAACTATTTATTGATTGAAGAAAATGTAAGTTGTTTAGAATGAGGTTTATAGGGAACTGTAAGCTTCATAAACGTGTATACTTTGCATATTTTCTATCAAATTCCAGTCCCACTACGCCAGCCAAGAAACCGGATGTTGTTTTACCGGTTGCTGGTGGCACTCCTAAACTTGAAGACTTTGGTCTCAGCTCCAATTTTCTTGATAGCGTCTCCAAGAACAAGCTTCGGAATCAGCACAGAGTTGAGTCAACGCAAGAGGGCACTCATTTAAACTCCACATACAACAAAAGGTACATGTATGTATTAATCATTATAGTGAAGCAAACCAAAACATTGAAAAATGTAGTAGGTTGTTCATTTTCTTCTATTATTTGAAGAGGAGGATACAGAAATGTGAAGCAGATTATTCCTGCATAACTCCATTTTGTTGAGGCAATAATTAATATTTAAAAAAAAAAAAATCCATGCTATGGTGTGTTCAACTAGTTGGTAGGTGAGTACATGAGATTAGGACTCGATGCTGCTTGTTTTATAACATTGTATCAGATACTGGCATTTCATCAGAGATGTTTGAAAAGTTTCATTCACTCTTCATTATGATAAAGTTAATTGCCGTATTTCATTTTTTCACTAATGTATATAAAATTAATTTGTTTTGAAATGGCTCATATTCAAGACATTTTTAAATTGACAGATGTAGCTTCAAAATGTGGTATTGTTGTTTTCAAACATTATTGAAAGTTGAGAGGAGAATCTTTTCCTCTTGTCTTTATTGCCATCCTGTTTCTTGAATGCCACTGTTTTAGTGTTAGATATTTTATATTTGTTCTTGAATTCCTAGGCAAATGGAGATGGCCCAAACCACCATGTTTGCCCCCTCCCAGGCCTCCACCTGCCCCTTCACCCCTGTAGGGGTCACCACCACCCCTTCAGCCCGGGTCACTGTGACCCCTGGTATGTTTGGGGGCAGTGAGCTACCGGACGAGACCCCCACCAAGTTTATAGGTAACAAACAAAAAAGTATTGCAAGTTGAAATAACAACCCACATATATGTCATAGTCAGTAGCAAAGTGCGTCTGAAATGTAAAATCAATTACGGGCTGTCAAAGGGTGAAGTTGAAAAAGTATGTTGGCATTATCAGGCCTGTTAGCGTTGAAACTTGAAAGTAACAAAGTACCAGTACAAAAAAAATGCAAAATGGGTAGCCAGGCAAGTTTGAACAATCTCTTGAACTTGATATTTATAATTATACCTTACACATAACCCTCATCTAAGCTGTTTGGATGAGTAGATTAATTGTTCCGTGAAACGGAAGTATTTTGGGGCTAGAAAGGTGCGTTTTTGCTCTTTTAAGATTCTGAAAGTGGTATAATTTGTGAACAACATCCTTGTCTCAGTTATGATAATAATAATACACAACATTTATTAGGCACTTAATACGGGTGTTTCTAAGCCCACCAATGTCTAACTAAAAATCACCAACCAAAACTTATAAGTCAGTTCAGTTCAGTTCAGTTTATTGAATTCCATCTTTAAAAACATTTTTACAAAGTAAAAACATGCAATTTCATGTAAAATATAATACATAAATTGGGATAGCATATACATGTGAAATGAATTAATACAAAACAGAATAAGGCACAGCTGTAAAGAAACCAAGAAAAGGTTTTGTCTGGACAGCTTCCTATCAAATTAGATATAATAAATATAGTAAGAAAACAAGTAGCAAAGTAAAGTTTCGGATAGTATCATCCAGAAATTGCATAACAACCGGCACAAACCCAGTACGTGAAATACAACAAAAATCAGAAGATAGCAAGGGGAAGAAGAACGAGAGAGAGAGAGTGAGAGAGAGAGAGAGGGGGGTAACAAGCTAAATAAATACATTCAGTGAGAGTCATGCGCAATCAAGAAACTTTTGAGATTACGTTTAAAACTGTTGTAAAATGAGATTGAAGTTATATTAGTTGGAAGCAAGTTCCAAATTTCAGGTGCATGATGTCTGCAAGAATATGATGCAAAATTTGTATTAACACACCATCGATGATATTTCTTCTTATTTCTAGTATTATAGTTATGTATTGTACTGTTTGTTATAAACATATCGGATAAGTTTTTAGGAAGCAGACTTTTTTCATTCTTAAATATAAGTATTGCACACAAATATTCATTTAACTGGTAAACATTCAAAATATTAAGTTGTTTAAAAGTGGTTTTGAATGAGATTGATAATGAGATAGCGTTATATTTCTAAACACACAAAATATAAATCTGTTCTTTATTCAATAAATCATGCATATATATAATAATAAAAATAAAAATGAGATAAAAAATAAAGTCAAACATAAGATCAAACAAACAAGGAATAAGATGGTGTGCACCTCCTTTGACCGACTCACAACTGCAGAATATCATTCATGAATTAAAAAGGTGCGTTTTCAGCAAGGACTTAAACTGGTCAAGAGAATGAGTTTTTTTAATATGCGTTGGTAATTTATCCAAAGGGTAGGGGCATTCACTAAAAAAAGCTTGATCGCCATATTTTGTAACAGTACGAGGTCCAAGGGTTAACTGCAAGGTTGATGATGATTGAAGAATTTCAAGAGGTCTTAAAGAACTAGAAGATCGAAAGGAAATCAAATCTGAAAGGTATTTAGGGGCTTGGCCATGGAGAATTTTGTATGTCAGAAGAAGAACTTGAACTTGAGAAGGTTGAGTTATGGGAAGAGGTGAAAAATTATTTGTGAGCTTTATCATTCTTATTATGCAAGTGTGGAAGAACATCAGATAAGACATGTTCCCTGAAAAGCATGGCTCTTCAAATGCCTTCATATTCTAAATATGTCATGTAACATCGTAAAACTCCGGGGTAGGATTTTTATGCCACGTGTTCGTGTAGTCCCATATACATCTTTCTGTGTACAGTGTTTGCAACTTTACCAAGACTTGGCCAAATTTCTTATCATTTTGATGATTCCAGAACTTTGCAATACACACAAATTCTTATATGCTAGATGATCAACCTTTTCTGGTTGATTCCACACCGTTTCTTTCACAATGCAATCGCATTACCAGAACTCAACTTCATCTTTAAATGTTATACGATGGTGTATGGGAAGCCAATGAAGAGAACGCAATATTGGGGTTATGTCCTCATGCATATCCATTATAAAAGTTTATATTCTTAGGCCAGGCAACCATATTATGATCACATATAAGGTTGGAACATGACAAGCTGTAGAACAATCACCGTCTTCATCTATGTATTATTAAAGTTAGGTGAACTTTTAAGATATACATGTAAGTCATTACTTCCGCATTTCAAATTTCTGAAAAATCCTCTCATTACTGTGTCTTTTGTTTTGTTTTTCTTCGCACAGACCTAAACAGTGCTATGCCCCGCTCTCATGCTGCACCGGAGGATGACTTTGGCGGATCCCAAGGAGCGAAGAAGTCTCTGCATTATGAACCATCCAGCAAGAAGGGCACTACATCTTTCTTGGACTCCATTTCAAGTGACCTAGCGGAGGTGATAGCACAATATAGATACTCTAGCTGAAGAAATTGTGCGTTGCACACAATTCAGCCTGAACAAAACATACATAAGAAGTCATGCTTTCATTTTCTCGAGTTCTAAAATTTGCACTTGTCGATCTTAGCGCGAAATTTGTGAAAATTAATGTACTTCAAATATTTCTACTTTTACAGTAGTTTTAATCTGTGCTATCATCAAAGTCATGTATTGTTTTCACGTTGGCCTGCATTTATATCATTTTTTACTCAACTTGATTGAATGCATTATTGCAGACAGATGTTGTTGGTACCTGTCATGAATGAAGAAAAGACTACATTGGAGATTTATAGCAGATAGCTGGTGTAATTGAAGTCCTTTCACTTGAAGGTATTGTGTCGGATCTTGAATAATACTCTTTGTTATGATTCGACTTTTCAGAATGAAGATCAGTTTGGGACTCCTCAACCTCCGGAGCTGACAGCCAGATGGGAATTCACCTCCATCCAGGCGCCCCTGCCAAGCCAACCAGAGTTCACTATGAGTTCAGATAAGCCCCCCAACAAACTTGACATGTTTCCCAGTCTGGGGTATCAGACCGATACCCCTCCCACCCCAGAAATGACTGCTAAGTGGAATATCAGGTAAGGTGGATTCTTGTGTTTATTAATTAATTCGTCTTTACTGTAAACAATTATTATTCAAATAAAGAATGAACATAAATAACCCTGTACCTAGGTTTACAAATGAAATTTTGATTTCCTCATGCAGGGTAACATAAGTAGTACATAGTAATGTATGGGTAAAAACGGATAAAGACATAGACATACCTGCCAACCACCCCGATTTAGGCGGAGTTCCTCCGCATTTTTCATACCAACTCCGAATTCCGAGTGCATGCCTCAAAACTCCGATTTTTTTTAATTTTAAAATATTTTTAAAACAAATGACTGTTGCATAAGACTAAAGCATAACACAGCACTGATAACCAGATCACGCCGACATCCGCGCTCGCGCTCATAGAAGATATTGCATAGTAACTGCATGCGTATAGCCCACGTGCATAAACACTGTATACATTGGCGTGTTTTCTTCAATGCTTGTGCGATGACTGCGATTGTGGAAGCTTGTTATTTACCGGACTTCCTCAGATTTATTTTGGATTACTACTACTATATTCTTCTTCTTCATTGATTTCTCCATTTTTGAAGGACAAAATGGGTAAGACTCGTGCTGTTCATAATCAGAAGTATAAGAAAGAATACGGGAAACAATTTCCAGTTGCAGAATCAGCACTCGGACTTCAACACGCATTTTGCATTGTGTGTTCGGCCGACTTCAGTATCAACCATGGGGGAATGAATGATTCAGAAACACATGAACTCGGAGAAACATAAAGCTTTCAGCGAAATTAAGGACAAGGCTCGTCCAATTTCAACCTTGTACATCAGCTGGATTGGTTGGTTTCAGTAGCCAGTAATTCTGAATCTTTCTACCTTTGCAAAATAGGGCTCCTAACTGAGGTGGGTAGTGAAACATGGAGTTTTGTGAGTGTTCACATTTTGATATTTCAAAAATTGTTTATGTGTGGGGCGAAAAGGTTGAAGGAAAAGGCCCATTTGCACCATTAAAATGGAGAGAAAAAAAAAATAGACCCTAAAGTCCTGTGTACCCCAATCCTTCGGTGGTTCGCGACCTCGTAGTCCATCCAGAAAAATTTACTCCTAATTTCTCTTGCCTCAGGTTGGCAGGTATGCATAGATTCATGTTAATATACTTACTTGGTAAGAACTATATATTTCAAACATGCCAAATAAAACAAATAGTTAAAAGCCTGTCTCAGAAATAATTGACCTAAAGAGATAAAGAAAATAGCTACAATAATTATGGTGTTGTATTTTTACAGGATATTAATATATGTAAGATTCGAAGGTTAAATAGTGTAATAAGTTATTGATTATTTTGGTATTGTGGATCGACCATTTTATCCCTGTATACCCAGGACTAAACATTAGTGGTGCCTTGTTATCATTGTCTACATAGAGATGGCCACCTGGTAGTTACAAATCCTGTAAATGATATAACCATCTTTAATATAGAGCAGCATATCTACAGCCAGAATGACTGTGACTTTTGTAAATGCCTCAAGCATCCTGTTTGGATGTACTTTGGATGTCAATCTACCCTCAACAATTGCTGTGGTAGACAAAGGAACATCCCTTCACTGCTATTATGTAAAAATAAGTAGCACAGGTAAATATGCATGTGACACCTGCTCTACACATTTTTACATAATAGCGGTGAAGGGATGTTCCTTTGTCTACCACAGCAATTGTTGAGGGTAGATTGAGGAACTGTATATTTTGTCCGCTTTCTTTGTAATAATAATAATAATAATACATATGATTTATAAGGCGCCAAATCCACTTGACAGTCAAATGCTCAAGACGCAGCTTGTGCAAAAGATGAAATACATACATGATACATTCATACAAAGTGCGATAGGAAAGGTACAGACATGAAAGGTAATGGTAATCAATTATAAGCTAAATTAAACAGATATTTCTTAAGATCGTTTTTTAACACTTCAGCAGAACTGCTATTCTTAACCCATTGAGGGAGAGTATTCCATAACGAAGGCCCAGCATGTCCGTCATGTTCATAGTGTATATTGCAGGCTTGTGCAATTCCTTCAGATTTGTCAGATGTTTTTCTCAGGAATGCACTCACATCCCTCTTCTTCTTGCCTCTCCCTCTCACCATCAGAACCACATCCAAGGCTCCAGGCTCCCTCCCACCAGCGGAACCCCCTTTCGTAATGGAAGAACCCATCCGCCTGACCTCTCACGAACCCAAGCAGACACCAGAGGAACCGCAGCGTCTGTACGTGGAGAAGGCTGCACCTTCTCTCCAGGATATGCCGGAGACACCTCCTGGACTCCCTGGAAAACTTGGCGACTCCAAGTCGTTTGATTTCTCCAGGTTTATGGCAGATGAGATGCCAAAGACCCCTGAGCTCACTGTCTCTTACCCCAGGTTTGTTATGCATATGAAGTCATACCTGCCAACCCTTCCAATTACAATTTTCTGGATTTTTCAGACCTGTTCTGATTCTGATTTGTCAAAATTCTGATTTTTTTTTTTTTTTTTTTTTTTTTTTTGGGGGGGGGGGGATGCTAAAGCCAAATTAAGATTTTTTTATCATGTGTCACGATGTAAGAGGTCACATATTGCGTTCGTTAAATGGCTGCATGATCAAGCAGCGAATTTGTATTTGCTTCTTGGTACAGATTTACTGCGTATTGCCAGTAATATACTGCCGCTGCAAGTGCGATATCTCATTTACTTATTTTCAAATATTGGCAGGTATGTGATGTGAAGAAAATGTCCTTAATAGCTGCCAATCGTTCATAGTTTGGGGGAATGGGTTCTATTTTATAAATCTTTCATTTCTTTTTAACCAAGTTGTAAAGAATTGTAGAGATGGACTATTTGTATTTCACAATTATTCATGCCGATGCATTTTTGCTATCTTTGATTATTTCCAGATATGTTGATCCAAGCACGAAACCCACAAGTGTGCCAAAGCCAGTCGTAGACAGCGTCCCTCAGAAACCTTCAGCCAGTCTTCATTCTGGAATCCCCCGCATGGTGAAAGTGGAAGAATCCAAGCCTGTGGAGTAAGTATCACTAATTCAAATAATGTTAAAAAGATATTAAAGAGGAATGTGAAAATCAGGAGTTACAGGGAAATTCCATGCAATGTAATATGTCTCTTTTCAACATATTTCATTCAAAAAGTGAAGAATTACTTGATGTGACCATTGAATAATGGTGCTTTCTGGTATACATTTCAGTCATAGCAAGAGATTTTTCACTCATAAGATGAAATATATGGATAAATGTGATCACCCTAAAAAGATTGAAGGAAGAGTGCTAATAGATGAATAGGCATAACCGAAAGTAAACAGCTGAATAAAACATAGGGAAGGTGAATATTTATAAAGAAAAAATAAAAATAATTGCTAAATCAACTTTGAAGACAACATATCTTGACACTTATTTCTTTTGACAAGAGATTTGCATTCTGGCACTCCATTTCAAATTGCCACAGAGAAGTATCACTTCACATTATCCCCCACTTATATTTTTTTACCACACATATTTATGGAGAGCGATGCTAAAACAGTAGGTAACATAAACGTTTGATGTGGTGTTTTATTAGGAAGAAACTTTTCTTGCAATTGGTTTATGAGAAGGATTTAAGAATAGTAGAAGTAGTAGTAGTAGTACATGTAGTATCAGTATATCAAGGAAGATGATTTAGTGAAATATCCTTGACAGATTTATAGGTATTCATTATTACTATGTTTCTTGTTTAATAAAATGATTCTTCCTTTTTAACAGCATCTCCTATGTTACCATGGTGACGGAAGAGGAGTTCTCCAAGCAATCTGCTCACATGAGGAGAATCCTTCCTCTAAACCTTGTCAACGAGACTGTCTCCTGCATCAATACTATTCTCAACATCAAACACAAACAAGGTATGTTTTTCAGTGATTCAGTACTGGAGGTTCAAGGGGGAGTCCACCCTGATATTTAGTTTGTTTGAATAGAAGTAAACAAAAATGAGAGCACAGGGGAGTGTTTCACAAGTCTAAGATCGACTTTAAGTTGGACTTAACTATGACAGGCCATTCATGCCACTGGTTGCTCTCACTATTGGTCTCTCGATTATGATCTTTAGATAACATTTTTTCCTTCAATAATGAATTATCAAAAAATGTAAATTCTGTAGATTTGTGACCATGATTTGTACGTCCCTTGAGAGACCATTGCCAGTATAAATGGTGAGAAAAAATTGTGGCATAATGGGCTGCCAATCTTAGTCTTTGTGAAATGCCCCCCCCCCCCCCAGATCAGTGAAAGTTTGAGCAAAACCTGATTAGAGAAAAGAAAGTTGGGATTTTTTGAAGGTGCGATCAATCAAACACAATTGGCAACTTTATGGCGTATCTTGTGAGGTCCTCTACAATTTGCTCTATATAGAAAATGTCATGAACTTTCATTTTCATTGTTATTGATGATGGAATCTTTCATACAGGGGTCGTATAGAAGCATATTTGCAATAATTGTGTTTAGGGTGCATGTATAATTGAATTTTGTTTTAAAGGGAATATAGACTTTTCTGATTTTCTTTTAGTACAGATCGAATGGGAGGGGACCTTGCGAGATACATCTCAGAGCTGCTAATTTGTGGCTGATTGATCACAATTAAAAAAATGTTTTACCTTCTTATTTGTAATCAGATTATGCTCTACTTTTCACTGACCTGTTCTCTCATATGTTTTCGCTTCTATTTAAACAGACTTAATACCAGGGTGGACTTTCCCTTTAAGGGTTATTTGTAGGGTTACAATACATGTAGTGTTTGGTCCAGAGTTGAAATTGGGAATTTGGTTAGTGTAGGTAAATGACCGCAGAGCGATTGCTGTCAGAGCATGTTTTAATAAGGGAGATGTTAGGTTGTAATACATCTCTCTGTGTCATTCAAATCATTTCTTTCTGAAAAAAGAGAATCTGTGCTTTACATACTTGAAGGAGACGAAACAATGAGTGAACCAATCTTAGTGTGTAAAAAATAGATAATTCTCAGAATTAGAGATCTGCATATTCGGGAGATGCTAGAATTGCTGAGCAAAATGTTATATAAAATTGCATATTTTTATAGAAATATTTGTTTTTTTCTCTCAATCATGTTATCTCCATGATTCAATTCATGTCACATTGAAATCACCAGTTTAAAAAAAAAAAGGTATTTTATTTTATATAAAGTGGTTCACATGCTTTACAGTATAATGTGTATGGCATCATGTTACAGATAGATGAAGAAAATAGAGTCTAATGCTTTTTATTGTTATTATATTTTCTCTCCCGACCAGGCGAGGGCGTTTACCTGACGGACGACGATGTCCAGGTGATCAGCCTGGGTCCAAAGTCTAAGGCCATGCTGCTCTTCTTCATTACCGTCAAGCGACTCTCAAGCGGGAAGAGACCAGGCACATCCGAAGTAGCATATTTCCCAGTCTCATATTAAGGGGATGAAGAAAGACCCAAAGCAAGCAAGAAAGAAAATGAACGAAAGATATGTAGAATTCATGAAAATGTTACTAATTATAGAAGAGAGTAAAAGTAGAATATTCTCATCATTTTACCATAATGTTTGCCATTGGAAAGAGATCTTACTTTCAAAGTTTCATTCAAAAGTGTGAATGTGTTCATTTTATACAAGAAAATCCCATAGTATTAAAAAAGTTGATTATTAAGAAACATTTCTTTTGAATAATTTCATCCCTTCTATATTTTGATTTTGTAAGATGTGTAGTTTACTTGTACTAAATTGTACTTATTCACAATCCTCTCACTCACCTAATGTCCATTTTCATAGTTACAACTTGTTATTAACAGCAATTTCTTTGGTCACTTGGTCGGCATAATGTACAATATTTGTTAAATTATATATAAAGTTAATATATAAAACTTTAATGATGTTTGGGGTTTTTAAAACTTGCAATGGGTCATGTGAGTATTTAGGATTTTTTTTGGGACATTTCAATGTAAATTTCATTTTTTTTAAATACCGGTACATTAAAAACGTTTAATATTACATGTAATTCTTCATTTTTTGAGAGGCATTACTTTATTTCTTAAGTCTCATAATTCATGTAAATGGAGATAAAAAAATAAATGTCATGATCTAGCTTTGACATGGACTTTTATTTATTAACTGACTTTAAATAACTGTGGATTATTGACAGGAAGCACTTGGCAGTAGAACAGATAAACCAAGCATTAGTGAAGAATTCATTGCAAATAAGAATGTAATTCTTTTCTATGCTAAGTAGTAATAATTATATACTTGCAAGTAATTAAGCCAACTGTAATATCCATTTGCTACAAAGAAATAAAGAAGAGGGATTACAAGTTTGAAATTAGAATAAACCCCATATTAAAATGTACACAAGCCGTCAATGTAAACAGTTATGCAACTGTGTTATTCATCTGCTCTATGATTTATTTATTCATTATTTTTTTTGTCTTGTCTGTAAAAAAAAAACCCTATCATGTTCCTACTAAGTAGATGTTGTTTTGTTTGATGTGTGCATTCGTTTGGTTAAATTAATATTATTTGTAATCTGTATATTGAAATACTATGACTTTTTGAAACAAAGATACATGCTCTAAATATCACACAGGGAGTAATGATAGAAAAAGGAATAATAAACAAAAATTAGTTATAAATGAAAGAAAATATGTTGTATAATTCAAAATTAGTACAGTGACATAATACATATAATGATATCATACTCCAATGTAAATAATAACAAAAAGAAATCAGAAATAATAATACATGTTAATGTACAAAAATATGTCGTCGATTGTGTTTTATTTTATTTCATTTTTTTCTTCTTCAAATTAATTTATTCATCTTTTTGTATTCATGGGAAATCAATATCATGCCTAATCTCTTTCTACCACTTCTAGAACCACACTGACTCACTATACTGTACAATAATTTTAACATTCACTTCATATATATATGTGGTTCATATTTTAGTATAACACGCTCGGAAGTGAATATATCATATAGGCCTTTCTTGCGCTCATCATCTTTTTTAACTCCCACTTCACGTTCATATAAGTTAAAGCAGGCTAACAAACCTTCAGATTTGTGAACCCTATTTCATTTTAAGAATTTTGAACTTTCTGAGTATAAATGCACCAAATGTTTGGAATAATGAATCTTGTTTCATTTTTGGAGTCTTGTTATCACTTCCTGCTACTTCTAGAACCACACTGACTCACTATACTGTACAATAATTCTGACATTCACTTCATTATGATCAGTTCATATTTCAGTTCAACACGCTCAGAAGTGAATATATTATAAAGGCCTTTATTGTGCTCTTCTTCCTTTTCACTCCTACTTCACGTTTATATAATTTCCATGCAGGATAAATAGTGGCACATAAACTTTTAGTTACTTTAGTTTCTGGTTTTTCCTTTTGTGGGCTGATTGGAAAAAGGGTGTGATTTTGACCAATGGATAAAACTTTATTAGGAGGGTTTTTTGAAATCCTGTGGTCACTGATATTCTTACTGGCCCCTCCCCCTCCACCCCCCCCCCCCCCCATGTGGGCTGAACAGATTATCTCTCCTGGATTATTGATTCCTTTTTCAATTTCCCTTTACTGTTAGAGAAGGTGGGTTCGTGTGAGATATTTTAAGAACTGGGCATGCTGCAAAAAGACCTAGTATTGCATCATTATTACAGATTTGACTAGATAGATCATTATTTGGACTTCCAAGAGAGATATTTTTATTAGATATAGACCTCTAGATCTAATATTGAATATGTTTGTATTCAGTAATTTTAAGAAATTGATTGTGTCGTGCTCAGTTTATTAAAATCAAAGACCTTTTCTCAAAAGCACAAAAATCCTGATGAATATTTTATAATTTTTGTTTTCTCTTTGGGGATACCTTAAGAATCGACATTGCGTAATAGTTTATTCTTGTCGAAAATCCTGCCAATTTCGTAAGGTAAGAAAGATAATTTCTCATGATTCACTGAATATCATAGTCATTTGGGTGATGAGGCACATTTTTTCTCTTTAAAATATTCGGTTGAAAGATAGTAAATGATATGCAAAGTGCTAGTGATACCCAAATGTGCCCCCTCAAAAGACTTGTGAGTTGTGCCTGATGCCGCGGCAGCAACGCACACTCCTAACTGGCCCTGGCCTGGCCAAGCTAGCCATACATGAGGCTAGCACGCCCACCGGCCGCGCGCCGGGGGCCGATACCGACTGGTCGAGCCTAGCCTTACGTTGCGGGCGTGGTGATTGATTTCAACTAGAAATTTCATTTCATATCATTTCATTTCATCTTTGTTGATCCATATTAATTGTATTACTACACCTAGACCTAGGCAGTTTCATATTCGAGTTTTGGGTGCTAGTTCAGAAACCTATCCAAAATTTTCCCCCAAAATGACCCTTTTCAAATGATTTTGTAGTAGACTAGGTCTAGTCTAGGTCTAGCATGGGAAACAATTTTACAGGAATTTTAATAACAATTCTGAGCGGTAGTGTAGTGTAGTGTGTAGTGTAGTGTGCCGGTAATTTTTTGCAAATGAATCAAAATTCAGTATTTAGGATAACTGTATGTCTGTATGGACATAAAATGGCTGCTGTGGAAGAATTGGCCTAGATCTAGTCTACAGTAATAAGGCTTATTTCAAAATGTTTGCGAGCTGATAAAAGCACACACAGGATCATACTTGACACCTTTAATTAACAAAATTTTGTTTATTTGATGGCTTGTGTATCACTTTCTTGAAACATTGAACTACATCACATTTCATTTTCCATGTACAGCATTACTGATCATTCTAATGTTTTATATCGTTTTGATTTCAAAGTGGGTCACAGCTTTTGGTCTCAAAATGCACTCAAGAAGCATGCCCTCAATATTGTATAAGGCTGTGAAACTGCATGATAAGACAGAGAAATTATGTTTCCATTGCCATTGGCTTAAAAAATGTATGTACAAGGGTCAAGGTACTACAATAATTTTACAATTACAACATTTACACATACAGTCTAGAACATAAAACGAATCATACTAACACTAACGTTTTACAATTGTTATATATTTGCCTACGTGTACATTGTATATGTACAGTGCATGTACTATAGAACTTTGACACGTGTGTGTCATAACTTCATAAGAGTAGGGTGCATGTGCCAATAACTTACAAGGTGTATTAAAGTAAAAACAGTAAAACAAACTAGAAATTTAATTCGTCATGGGGACGAATTAGGTGGTCTGTCTTCAAGTCTTATGAGAGATTATAATATTTACTATATTGAGAAAGGGAGAAGTTATATAGACATGTAAACAATGATGATCATCATGATGATCATGATGATGATGATCTTGATAGTAATGGTGATGACGATGATGATGATGATGATGTTGATTATTATCATCAACAGACCACGATGACATCAGACTGAACAAAATTAGAGAAGATTCAGATAGCGTATAGTCTCAGCTACAACATACTCAAAAATCGACAAAAACCAAGCCGAAATAACGGCGATATTGCTCGCAAAAGACAAGAATGTAGAATCCAGATTTGAGAAAAAGTCATCTCCCAAAAGGATTACACGTCAAAATTAATGGATCTAGTGATAATAGGGTAATGATAAAGTAAATATGGTTGTTTATTACATTATTTGCGATTCTACGTGTTTTAATATTCAAAGGAGATGGTACAGTGAAAGATCAAAAAGAAAAAAAAGTGAAGAAAAAAAATTGTTGGAGACGCCCGGACTCGAACCAGGGACCTCGAAGTCGGAAGTCAAGTGCGTTACCGATATACCAAAACATTTCCCATAGAGATTACACGTAAACGGAAAATGGAATTATCAAATCCCACTTTGTAAGTGAAATATGAGTATGATCCCGGCATCTGATCGAAAAATAAAGAGCACACTTATGATAGCTTATTTTCTCAGCTACAACATACTCAAAGCTCAGCGTAAACAAAGAAAAAACGACGGAGATATTGCTCGCGAAAGACGAGAATGTAGAAACCAGTTTGAGAAAAAGTCATGTCCCATAGAGAATACACGCAAAATGTGAAAAATTGACATGCCTCCTTTAATCGCAAAAAAACGCCATGATACCTTTGTCAAAATGGAATTTTGTGGTGACTGTATTTGTAGAGAATATTCTCAGGTAGAACATATCAAAATTTAAAAGAAAATTGATCAATATTTACAGAGATACAATCAATTTTCCAAAAATCTGCTGACGTCATAATATACAAATTGAAATTATGAGTTCGGAGGCCATTATGATGACGTCATGAGTTAATTGAGGGTCAAATGACACATGAAATCATATCTCCAACTCATGCTTTTTCCAACCATGATATAAAAGTTGGGGTCAATTGACTATCTGAAGAGTTATTTTGATTTTTAAAATAGGATGTTTTTGATCAAATTTGCATTATATTGCCCATAGCAGCACGCGCAGATTTTGAACTTTGACGCGCACTCACGGCCTTATGAAAGGTCAAGAGTGACTGAAATTAATGTAAATTGTCATTTACGGTAAGAGGAATCTAAATCATGTAACAAAATTGAATTTGACCTTTTCCGCGCGTTATGAGCGCGCGCAACGCGCGCGGTGACACGTACGGACGGAAAATTTTGAAATGCTTAAAATGACCTGATTCGTACTCTCCTTTAATAGTTAAGTGATTTTGAGCATTTTAAAATTTTGACGCGCGCGTACGTGCGCGTCATGACCTTTATGTGACCTTTGATGACATGACTTGTTGACCCTTGACCTGAAATATATGTGATATGAATATGAATGACCTTTGCTCATGCATCATGAAGATATGATGGATAACGTGATTTAACAAAATGGCGCCTGGATGACGTCACGATGACCTGATGACCGTGAAAAGGTTACTGTCACGTCTCATGACAATGACCTATAACTGTGTCAAAATTGAATGAAATTAACACAACCGATCTTGAGTTAACCGATGAACAAAAAACGGGGAGAAATAAAAATAAATAATAATAATAATAAATAAATAAAGAAAGAAAATTCTGACGAAAACAATAGGTGATCTGTCGAAAACGACAGACCACCTAATTATGAAATATGGTAGGCACATTGCTATCACCAAACCTTACTTTAGATTGTGCTCGCCTGTGTGGTACAGTACATACATGTACATGTATCTTGGTATTTGAAAGTATTGAAGTGTATCATATAAAAGTATAGTGTACATAAAGGAGTTGTTCTTTAGAATAGAAGCTCAACCAGGATGGAAGGAGATTTTTTTTTTCTTCTGCTTTTTTCTTTTATGTTTGGTTTTAGTGATTACGAAAGTAACTTGCTCTGCTTTAATGACTCACAATGTTTAAGATCATTAATATTGGGGGGATGTATTTTTCCCCAAGTGTATTTTACCATCCGATATTTACAACGGAAGACCACGTTTGATATATTTTCCCTTGTCTTGTCAGCAATCATATTAGCACAAAGTTCCATTACTAACAATGCCTTTCTCATTTACAAAAATAGAAATGTTGTATTTGTTACAATACTAAGTTTTTGTTTTTTCACGAAGCCAAGTTTTGAATTTTGTTTGACTCTATCATGTTGTTCTTTTGACTTAGCTATCATTTGTCCTGTGGATGGAGATAAGCTAATTGCCGCCATGAACTTCACATCCTTCCAATTGCCATGTCTCCTGAGACATCAACTTCTTCGGTCCTACCGGTCAGTACTGAAAAGACCACACTGCTCCACTTGCTCAACCTGCCAAAGACCACACCAAGGTGCAAGTACTCCAAGACTGCCAAGGAACTCCAGCACAGTGTCATCGGTTCATCGTGGAACCATTGCAACGTTACCTGCCGCGACTTCACCAGTGACTTTGCTTGCTAGAGATTTCAGTGATAGGGTGGGGCCAGGACTAATTGGACAATCTGGACCAATGGACATTGTGGGGTCAAGGGCCATTGTGGGGTCAAGGGCCTTAGTGGGGTCAAGGGCAACGGGTGGATCCTTGCAGCTTGGCGGAGGTGAGCACGTGCTGTTTGTGCCAAGCAGAGACTTCATGAATCTCTTTGGCTCCTCACAGCCTACCGAGTGGGCTAAAGCGATATCGGAAGCCGAGAAGGTGGTGGGATACTCCACCTCGTTCATGAGCCTTCGCTGTCTGCTGAGCGACGAGCTGGCCAATGTTGCCTTGCACATGAGGAAACTTGTGGGTGCCAAGCATCCACTGCTCAAAACAGCCAAGTAAGTAATGGATGAAATGTTGTTGTAGTCAGTTCAGCTGAAGTATATGCTGTATGTCCATGTAGTCATTCTTTGTCACCATGCTCTCTATCTGTATTCATCATTTAGTTTCCTTCAGACGCTTTATAAATTCAACTACATGCATTTTCATAATCTCTCGGTCCCCTACTTTTATTTCATGGTTTTTAAAGAATACAAATTATGTACTGTGCACTTGATTACAGTGCACTTGATTACACACATACAGTGCTGTAAAGAAAGGGGAAAATGACTAGTCAAATATGTTGAAAATTTAATTAATTTTCTGGAATGTCCATCTCACTGATATTTTTGGAAAGTACCTGCATGTACATGTACATATGCATTAAGGAAAATTCCAATAAGTATTTGATATAACTTCTTCATGAAGTGAAACTCCTTGAGAAGAGGGGAAACCACAATGTTTGCATTAGTTCAAAGATATTTAAATGATACATGTACAATCTATTTCTTTTTCATTTTATTTCTCTATTTTTAAATATTTTTTTTACTTGCAGGAATTTTCTAACTGATGGCAAGCACAGTCTGCAGACCAGAGGCCTGATCATCCTTCTCATATCCAAGGCAGCTAGTACTTCCACTCACCAGGCCCCCGGAGACTCTGGGACCCACCGCCTTGATGATACTCCGGACCAGCAAGCCCCCATCGACAGCAAGCAAGTGCCACCATCAGGAGGGATCTATGCAAGGTAAAGCCAAGATTGCACGATTAGGTTAAACCGCCTCGATAAAATGCCTCTAATAAATTCCTTGGCAGAATGAAGTGCTTGATTTCATGCAAGATTACTGTTTATATAATGAGTGGCACTGTTTATTGAAAAGATTCAAAGAGATTTCTTTGGACCAAAGTAGTTTATTTTTTTACCTTTTTTGTGTGTTCAAATCCTACATACATGTAGAGTAACAAGTAGAATAGTAGTTGTTTGATAAGATTTTGTTACATGTACATTTCTGCTTCATGTTGTTTTCAGTCAAAGGGCATTGGCTGAAATCTCTGAAATGATCCACACCGCCTTCCTGGTCCACCGAGGGGTCGTTAACCTTCTGAACCTTGACCCTGCCACTGGACCAATCAACGTCATGGAGATGGGAAACAAGATGGCTGTCCTCAGCGGGGACTTCCTCCTGGCCAGCGCTTGTAAGGCCCTTGCAGGTCTGCGCAACACGACCGTTGTTGAACTTATCTCCAAGGCTATCGGGCATTTGACGGAGGCTGCCTTTATGAGATTTGGAAACGCTGACTTGAGTCCTATCGCGACGATCCAGCCTGGTTTGACTTTCTTGGACTGGGAGAGGTATGTGTATCTTTCATCGGGCACCCTGATTGGCCACAGCTGCAGAGGAGCGTTAGAACTCACCAATCACAGCCAGGCTTTGACAGAGAGTGCCTATGACTTTGGCAAGAACATTGCATGGGCCCAACAGGTAATTTGAGGAGAGTAGATTTTAACATGGAATTTGCCCGAGGGATTTTGAAAGAGCTTATTGCATCTTAAATCAAAAGCTTTGGAAAGCTTGATATTTGAGAAAAAAATAAAATTTAACCAGAGTGAAATGGGAATAAACCTTATGATTACTAAGACCAAAGTCATCCAATTCCATTTCAATTTGTATATTGTTCATTTCATATTGATTCTCTTGTGTGTGTAATGCTATTCATGCTCTCATCGTGAAGAATTTTTGAGTCAAAGAGATAATGAACCTTAATTTTGACATGCTAATTTGAAAAGAAATTCAAAATTAAGCTACTGTGCTTAATTATTGTAAAAATACTAGTGTTGAAGGAGAAAGAATCTGATTCTGCAAGATTTCATGCAATAAGTTCAGTAGTCTGCTACTTGCCTGTTTATTTGGGCGCACCACCCATCAAACGAGTGATGGACATCCTTTTTCAGTAATCACAGAGCACTTAAACTTGTTTGTAACAGTATTTCCTTCCCCATTCCTATCATCATGTGGTGATTTTGAAAGTGATATTATTTTATTATGCCTCCGCTACGAAAAATAGCCGGAGGCACTATGTTTTCGGGTTGTCCTTCCATCCGTACGTCTCGTTCTCGTGATCACGTTATCTCAAGAACCGATGGATAAATTCCTGCCAAACTTAAACCATGTATGTATCTGGCAAAGCCAATATGCTGATTGGATTTTGGGGTCATGAGGTCAAAGGTCACAGGGCTCATTATGTATGCAAAAATAGCTCTTGATCACGTTATCTCAAGAACCGATGGATGGATTCCTGCCAAACTTTAACCATGTATGTATCTTGCAGAGCTAATGAACTGATCATATTTTGGGGTCACGAGGTCAAAGGTCAAAGGTCACAGGGCTCATTATGTATGCAAAAATAGCTTGTGATCACGTTATCTCAAGGACTGATGGATGGATTTCTGCCAAACTTTAGTCATGTATGTATCTTGCAGAGCTAATGATCTGATTAGATTAGGGGGTCAAAAGTCAAAGGTCACAGAGCTCATTATATATGCCAAAATAGCTTATGATCACATCATTAAACTGATGAACAGATTACCATCAAAACATCTATTTATCTTGCAAAGCAAATGAATTGAGTAGATTGTGGGGTCATGAGGTCAAAGGTCATGGGGCTTATTATGTATGCAAAAATAGCTTGTGAACGCCTTCTTATTACAACTGACGGATGGATTACTATCAAACTCGAGACATGTTTAGATTAGATTTTAGGGTCTTAAGATCAAAGATTTTCTCTTCTTCTGGGATACTCCTCAACGTTCCGTTAGGAACTAAGCGAGGAGGAGGGTCATACATGTATATAAAAAATAACTTGTAATCGCGATATTCTGCAACCTGTTAATGAATTACAATCAAACTTAAATTTGAAAAATTGCTCTATGGCGGAGGCATCATTTTCGAACATCCATCTAGTTTTACCAGGTACAAATATTCATACTTAAGTTATTTGATATATGCATGTACATGTAGTTTCATTGATACAACAATGCCTAGAATTTCCTTTTAGTTTTAACTTTTGAAAGTACCTTTACATATGATCCTCTGTTCTCTCTTTTAGCTTCATACAGAGCTGCAACCCTTTGTATCCAGCTCATCGCCCAGAGGTGACATTGATCTTACATCTGCTCCTGTATTGTTGTACTTGGAGTCTGGTCAAGGTCAAAGGTCAGAGGTCAACTCATCACGTAAACCAGATATCAAGAAGGTTAGTCTTGTTCAGACTTTGTTATAAACACTCTACCAAAAAAAAATTGCAGCTTTTGGTGTATATGAACCGGATGGCAATAAAAATATGTTGCTGTAGCTTTGTGCAACAATAACTGCTACGTATACTTCTTGATCTGTCTGTTCTGTCCCCAGTTTGAAACCATACCATGACAAAGGAAGCCACCTATCAATGCACATGCTCACATTGTATGAAAAGTCTTTGGGGTAATGGGAAGAAGACACTAGTGAATTTGGCAAAATGATGTGCAGAAAGAATGGTGATTTTCTATTTTTAAAAGCTAAACTGTCCACATGGTTGTAATGGCTTTGAGAAGATAAGATTAATTAGATGGATAATAAATCAATCAAGCAATTCCTTTTTTCTTATTAAAAAGAAAGAATTATGTAATCATCTCTGATTATTATAATTGGTGTTTATTCAACACCTGCTATGATGTCACAAAGTATAACGAAAATACAATTTATCAGAAATTATAGGTTTTATTGTTGTAGACTTGTGTTTGGATTGCCTATGTGTTTGGGGATTATTTCCAGCATATGAGATTATGAGTGGATTTTAAAACGTTAACTTTGTAGCTCTACATGTGTACATGTATGCGAAAAAGTAGTTGGCAATTTTCTTGTTTTTTCTTAAACTAAGGAATCCATCGTTTAATCTCTTTTTATTTCTTTTGACAGCTGATGCGTGAGATTCGTCAGAGCCCCGCCCTTGATAAAGCTAAGAGTCTCTGTCTCAACTACTCTGACACTGCTCTCCAAGGTCTCTCAGCATTCCCAGCATCAGACTCAAGGACAGCCCTCCAGAATATGGTCCATGCGGTGAGGATATGAACAAAAGCCTTCGGCTTGATTGAGATACATTGAGTTTTCTGTGCCTCTGTAACCTTGAAATAATCTACAGGTTCCTGCAGCATCAGACCCCAGAACATCTCACCAGAACATGGTCTGTGCAATGAGAATAAGAAGAAGAGCCCAAGTGCCTATCAAGGTCAGTGTCTTTTGTCTCTGTATTGAAGATGCTCTCCAAGTCTGCTCGAAATCAGACTCCAGGACCACTTTCATAAACATGGTTCCTGCAGTGAAGATTCAGATCTTGGAATTTGGAATTCGGGATATGAAAAATAGCCCCAGCCTTGATCCTGACTGAGGCCTGTGACCTTTGTGGAGTTGATGCTGTACAATCTTCTCTGCAGTCGCATCACCGTCGCATCACCAGACTCCAGAACGGCCCTCCAAAATATTGTCCTTGCGGGGAGGATAAGAACAAGAGCCCTACGCTTGATGTAATTACAAGCTCTCCCAGGAGTTCCCAACATCATTGTCAAGAACGTCCCTCCAAACAAGGTTCACTGTTAACTCATATCCTGCCATAAGGCTGCTTGCACGCAACCGTTATAGTGCTTTGTACACGCGAGCGTGCTATTGATTGGTTGCTTCATTCATGCGAGCGAGCTACCGCTTATCTGCTTTGTGCATGCATGCTCGCATTCGTAATAGCAGTTATTGTTTGTGCCCATTGCACTGTGCCTAGTGTTTCACACGTGCTGTTGATAGTACCATCGCGTAAATCCGGTTATCTAAAAATTAACTTGGCACATGGGGATTTGAGGCTTGGCACAATGGGGATTAGCCCCCTGTGCATTAGGCTGTATTCATTATGGCAGGATAAGAGTTAAGGCAACTCTGGCAATGCTCTCCATGTCCTTTCTTTGTTGCCAGCATGGGATTTAAGGACGATTCTGTGCAATGTGTCCTATACAAAGTATAACATTTTTCCACATATTTTATCCATGAATAAAAAATTTCTTGATATGACTATGACTAATGGCAATGATACCAGAAAGCACTATTACTCTTTGGTCATCTTAAGATATCCTTTACTTTTGGATGCAATATATTGTGAAAAAAGACGTATTCAGGAAACATTGCACAGAATCACCCAAACACGGTTTTAAACATGGTCTGTACCATTGGGTTACATGTAGAATTTGTCTGTCGCTTAATAACGAAATGTAGTGGCACAACAATAGGCGGTAGAAATGCAGAAGTAGTAATAGTTAGGGATGTTGGTGACATATTAAACAGTTCTCATTTGACACATGGAAAAAAATAATTACAAAATTTTGGCGGCTACTTTTCAAGCTTGCTTGCATGAAAATAACACTCTTTAATTTGTTTTGCATTGAACTCTATGCACATTTTTGGGGACTCTTTTATGACTTTCGAGGGGCTCTTTTCGGCATTTTGGGGGCTAATTTGCCTCGAACGCCAGCGAACTTTTCCCCCTGATTTGACATATTCTGAATGAATATTAGCTAATGGTTAGCCTAATCAAGGAAATCATATTTACCAGCCTAATATCCTAATGAAATGCCACTGCATTTTGCTATTAGTGATTTCAAGGTTAATATTTCTCATTTTACATTGTGGTAATGATGAACTTCAACTGAGAAAGCATGTAAATCTTTTCAGCCTGTATTCCACTCTGTACTTAAATTAACTTGGTATTTTACTTGGCATTTAGCTTAGCTACATTGTAAGTAAGTAAAATGGCTCAATTTTTACTCAGACCACATGACTGCCATGTCTAAGTCTGCTAGGGAGCTGTCTGAAACTTGGTGTATAGTATTTAGTCAAAGGCTTCAAGTGAATACAAATACAAAGTTTGCTTAGTATTTTATCATAACCAATAGCTGAGTGAAAAATTGTCACATTTCAGACAAAGTATTAGATAGAATACTGGCCTAGAAATTTATAGTGCAAATTCTCAGGAGTTTATGTGTGTGTTTTCATATTAAATCTTATATGAGTACTAAGTGTATTTTAAGATATCTACACTGTAAGTTGGGCAGGTCCAAGCAATTCTTCCCTCAGGTGTAAACAATTAGGTATATTTGAATGTAGAAAATATATACATGTACAGTATGTCATTTTAACCCATAGCAGTTCAGAATTTTCTAAAGGTCTTAATGAATTAGCTTCAAAGTTTCTAATATTTGCAGATCAGTAAGGTACCAATTGCGTAATATCGGTTTTATTCGTAAATATTTGTCCAAGTCTGCCACCGAAAAATTAGTACATGCTCTGATTTCCTCCTGTCTTGATTTTGGCAATGCCCTCCTAATCAATCTACCCCAGAATCTACTGTCCAAACTCCAGAAGCTTCAAAACGCTGCAGCTCGTATTGTTTCTCTGACCACCAAGCGTACCCACATTTCCCCAGTTTTGCAGTCGCTACACTGGCTCCCAGTAAAAGATCGCATTGTTTTCAAAATTTTGTTGCTTACCTTTCATTGCGTTCACGGCTCTGCTCCTCAATACCTTATCTCTCTAATCCAAAACTACACTCCTGCAAGACCTCTACGCTCATCCACTTCCAATTTTCTTGTGACCCCCAAAATTACAAAAACATGGGGGGAAAGATCATTTTCATACTCTAGTCCTAAATTATGGAATGGCCTTCCTGAAGACATCAAAAAATGTTTATCTTCTGATTCTTTCAATACTCATCTCAAAACATTCCTTTTCAAGTCTTGATCGTTTTTCCTGTTTACACGCGCCTTGAGCACTCCACAGAGTGGATTTGGCGCGATATAAGTTACATTTTTATTATTATTATTATCTCCTCAAATTGGCACTACTTATTTGAATTTTCCACCCTTTCATGGTTTGAAAAAAAATGAGTGAATGGAGCAGTATGAATGAAAATTACAAAAGTCAATGAGAAATTGCCGAGATTATACATAAAAATAAGGATCTTAATTTTCACTCTGCATTGCAAATTAAGAGACTTTGATGATTATTTTTGATTAATTTCTTATTCATGAATGGCACAATATCCCACAACACAAACATGTATGAGCTCAAAATTTCCAGCATCATTTGGACTTTTTGCTCATGTGCAATTTGTAATTCAGACATCGTAGCATTCTGGATGAAAAGATAAAACTAAAAATTCACTTAGGAGACACTGAACTGCTATGGGTCAAAATTGAAACTTTCGGTTGTCTGATCCTTATATTGTTTTTTTTTAAATGTGTATTTAAAGTAGTTACATGTACATGTACCCCAAAAATCAAAAGTGTTTTGAATTGATGCAAAAATTCATGATATCATTGCGAAGGTGATCAAATATAACAACTTCCCTCTTCAAAAATTTCGAGATCCAGATTTTCTGCCTTCAGCGGTCCTCCGTAGAGCATCCAGATTTGTGACGTCACATGCGAGACACAGCTAGCCACAAAATTGCATAATAAGCCTTTCCATGATATTTACATGATATGATTTTTCAGCAAATTAATCATGTATTTCAAGAGAAAATCTTTCCATCCATATATAATTTGTCCATAATTATCAGTTGTTGTGAAGTTAAACTAGGCTATTTTTTCATAATCAATATGAATAAGCATGACGTTCCAGACGTTTTCTTTTTTTCATGTTTGAATCATTCAAATGAACGCCAGACATTGTTTCATGCGTCAATAGAAAAACCCAGGCATGTGCTTAATTCTGAAAATATTCTTAAAATTCTTGATAAAGCTAAGTAGTGGATTGCAAACATGTAATGTCCTGTATTTGGAAATTGGGTTTTCACATTCCAAGGAAGAGTTAAGGATATAGTTGAGTTCTGGTCCTATGATCACATTGTGAAAAACATTATCTCAAAGCACTTTGGTTAATCGTGTATGACATAAAAATTGGTGTATACTTTGAGGTTTCTAGATTATCAAAATGATAAGAAGTTGACTCAACCTAGTGAAGTCTCTTGTAGTACAGCACACAGAAATATGTATTTGGGACCACACACATGGGTCTTGAAAGTTTGGCCCAAACTTTTCAGCTCTTCCCTTTTGTACACACATTTTCAATATTAGGGCAGTTTAAGAAAAAAATCCTATTTCAGGAGACACTTCCATGCCGGATATTCTTCCCAATTTCCATGAAAAGAATTAAAAAAACTCACAAATTGTTGTTAACATTTACCAGAACTCAACCTTCTGTAAATTAGTATTTTTCTGAACTTCTGTGAAGGTCTGATGAATACACTAGTAGTCCCCAACAACGAAAATGATCATGAATTAATCAAATTTGTATCAATTGTAAATATGTAATTATACATAGTATGTGACGAATAGGATAATTGCATGACATACAGGACAAACCAATGCAAAACGGTCTATTGAAAAATGTAATACAGTTTTGAATATTGACACATGAATATTCTTATAAAATTCATCAGATAATTGTTGATTATAAATTACAAAGCAACTTATAACTTGTTTATAACAATATATGTTTGGTACCATTACAATGCCACATAAAGACCAAACAAAAAATTCTTTAAAATTCATCAAATTTTCTTTCACTGAGTGAAAACCTCCTAACTAGCTGAAATATTGTTTTGTTTTGTTTTTCTACATGTATGTGCATTTCAGTTTTAAATTAGACTGGCTGTAGTCTGATCTGTCCTGTACGTCACAGTTGAAATAGCTTGGACCTGCCCTAGAGTCTACAAATATCTTATTCATGTATTTATGATATTGTAATTCTTGTAATTATTTGGTAAACATTGTTACACTGGCAGCCCAGATGATTTATTCAAGTGAAAAGCACAGGAACAACTGACCTCTATGGTTGATGGGATAGGCCCTAGGCCTCACAAAAATGGAATCCTGCCCGGTCTGAGCTGTTGTCTTCCGGCCCAAATCACACAATTTGTGATGTCACTACCAAGAGACCCATTTTTTCAGTGTACAGAGAGGGGTACATGATACCATCACACATGACATGTCCCCTCCCTAATGTAAGTGCTTCAATTATGTTTTTAAAGATATTTTGTTTTGCCTTGAATGTACAACACAATGCAATAAGTTTTCCCGGCGATGGCGTTGCTGAGGGCGACAATTACGATGATAGTATGCTGCGGTTTGTTCGCTTTTTGTCTCAATTGCGATTTCAACTATTTGAGATTGTTTTATGGATGTTACAGATAGGTTTGGGGTCATATTCTGACTATTATGGTAGCATGAGTTTGAGGGAAGTCTCTCAAAAATATTTCTTGGTAGTATTTTTCAACGAGCTGTTAAAAATATGTTCATTTGTAACTTATTGATACATGTCATATTTATGTGCTCCCCTCTTCTCTCTCTCTTTCTCTCTCCGTCCTCCTTGCTTGATCCATTGATCTCTTTTGCCGTCTCTGTGTCCCTCCTCGTACTATATCCCCATCTCTCTCTCTTACTCATAACCTCCCCCCCCCCCCTTCTCCTTCCCTCTCTTTATGTCTCCATCCATTGGTATCTTTTGCAGTCTCTCTATTCCTCCTTGCACTACACCACCCTCCCTCTTATTACCTCAACCCCCTCTCTTTCTCATTGCCTCACTCCCTCCACCCCTCCCACATTCTCTCTTACTCTCTCTTCTCTATACCTCAATCCATCGATTGAAATCTCTCTATACCTCCCTCTACTACCCACTAGTGCCATTGATCTCTCTTTGTTCTATGCCTTTTCAACATACATCCATCATGACTGATACAATGTTCTAAGAAGTCAACAACAAAATTGTTTTACCAGAGAAGATTTTTATTAATAGTCCTTTTTATTACTGTGATTTTCAATCATTTAAAAAATTCAATGCAGAGTCCTATGGAAGATCAGTATCAATTATTTTGCTCGTAATATACTCTCTTTTATGTACATGTTATGGTTGTGTTTCTATGAATGCCAATTGAACAGTCTACTCTCGGTGTATATTTGAAATACCTAAAACTTGTTCCTTTATTCATGCTCCACGATGAGTAAACCAAATGTTTGTGACATGCCTCTGTAGTGTGTACACTTCATGTAACCTCAGAATGTGTAAGGATAAGGAAAATATTGAAAGCATTGGAACGATAAATACTCCTCGTGTATAGGGTTGATGCTCAATATATATGGGCTTGTCCGCCAAGATTTTTATAATCAATTCCGGTTATTGCTTTTTACCCTTTTTTATGAGCATTTTGTGCTTAAAAAATATATTCCCCAATGTGAAACAAAATGCTTCATCGATTATCACAGTATATGTAAGTCATGTGTCAAGTTTGTTAAGCGCAATGTCATGTTTCGCGGATAGCGTGCAATACTATGTGTCTTCTTCGTCACTGATTCTCACAACGCCGTTGTGACTTTCCTGACTCTCAGCATCGTCTGATTCCATGACATCCTGGATGCTGTTAAGGGGTGGTCTTCTAAGCGACTCTAAGTGATTTTAAGTACTCCTGAGTACCATTGTGTTTCAAAACGGTTGTTGGTTGACATTTTACCAAAGCCCCGCCAGCTAGACCTGTCAGGTCAACCATCTTCTACATTCTACCGACGTTGGTGACGGATTTGCCGATCATGTCTTTGCAGACAGAGGAAAGAGGACAACAGTTCTTTTCTTCAAGTTCATACGAGGGTCTTTCGCAAATCCACATTTTGTGTATAGTGCATATCACATTATGATATAACGTCTCTATTTGCTCCCAAAGGACTTTAGATATTATTACCTTCGGCTTCAGCTCCTGCAACCAGGTATCCATTCACACTTGCGTCAAGTGTGGCACGTTTAGGTTAAAGTCTTTCTAAGGACATGAGTACCAAGGTGGGATTTAAACCCATACCTTGTGGATCACAGTCTAGACACATGTCCGCTTGCTGGTGATCAGAGTGTGTGGCAGTGGTTTACATCCTGTGGGCTTTACAGGGATCAGGTTCTTGTACTCCAGCGTGTCTCTGCAATCTTATTTGCAACGAGAGCTGAGAGAGTCTTGGCCTCTTTGTGATGACGACAGAAGGAACTCGGCGGATCTATTTCGAGTCGGTTGGCCCCTGTTAATTTCCCATCCTTTTTTTGTGTTTCTCCAATTGTTACCATCCTTTGTGCTCGACCATACTGTTTCTAAAGGAACACAATGTGAAGTCACAGCCAGTATGGGGGATGGAGGCTGATCAGTGCTTCTGTGACACCAGTTCATTTCTTGAATGGCAAATAATTTGACACATCGGTGTATCATAGTTTTTAATCCCTTTTGACCTCCCAAAGAACCAAACCAAGATGAAGACAACATCTGTATCACTTTACCTTACAAAATATTGCTATCTGAAGTCTTGCTTGTATAGAAAGCTATGAGAATGTCGGCTGCTTCGTGGTGATGTTAGAGGGAACTCTGCAGATATTCTTCTGGTTGTCTATCCCCATTATGTTCCCATCTCATTCCAA